CAGTTGTCTGTTGTAGTTTTGTCCTTCCCTTTGAGGCAAGGCCCTCTCTCGTAGGGTCTTCGTTCTGCTGAGGTGTAACCTGTACTCCTAAGATATCTCAACTGGAAGCTTGCTGTGTTGACCATGGCTCTGCAGTTTACACTCGAATGTCCCTAGCATTGGTGGGGTGGCTACTCTCTGTTCAGTTGCTTGCTCTCTCAGTTGTTCTCTCCTGGGTTTGTTGAACTCTCAACCAGTCCATGCAAAACTTTGGAGTCGGTCGGTGACTTGCAAGAAATTGCTTCACAGATTTCTGGCTCTTTCTCTGGGTGCTCCTTTTCTGCAGTGTTTTGGCATGTGAGTCCCAGCCGCTTTGGGCTCTCTGACCTTCTACCTGTGTGTCCTTCGCTCAGCAAGATGGCTGCTTTCTGCAGGGGCTCCATTCCTCCAAGCCACAGTTTGGTCAATAAATGTGCTTGGAGAAATGTCAGTCAGCTCCCCATGTCATTGTCTTTCCCCAAGGGTTGCAGGCCCGCATTTCCCGACCGTCTCAGTTGCTGTCTAATCCCTTCCAAAAGATGTTTTATAATATAAAATTTAAATACTTCATCTGGCTTTTATCATTTTCTTTTTCCCCATTGGAAATACAAACTCTTAGTTATGGTTGGAATCAGAAATCTCTCCAATTACAACTATATGGGGCCCTCAAGGTCTTATATAATCTGACTCCTGGCTAGCTCTCCGACTCCCCTATTCCCTCATTTCAATTCAGCCACAAAGGCATTCTTTCTGAACGCCAAACAGGCCCAGCTTAGTCCCACGTCAGGGCTTTGAACTTGTTGTGAATCTCTGTCTGGAACACTTTAGATCCACTTCTTTACATGGATGTCATATTTATGTCATTGGGCTCTTAGCTCAGCTATCACTTAGAGATCCTGCCCCAGCTGCCTAATTTATATAAAGCCCCTCCCTGTCCCAATCACAGCCACATCTCCCTCTTTTTTTTCTTTTTCCTCGTAGCACTTATATTATCTGAAAAGATCTTCCTTTGTTTAGGGTCATACTTATTTATAGATTAGTTCCCCCACCCAACCCCCCGTGGTTTATTTTTGGTAAATACCATCAGCATTGTACACAGCATCACTTCCATAGCACAGTCCATAGCATTTGAATCTTTGAAACAGGTGACAATTGGAGGGAGGAGCGGGGAAATGTTTTCAGCCTTTAGTAATGAATGTTCTCTGCCTTTGAGACCTATAGACCTAAAAAAAAAAAAAAAAAAAGACTTTTACACTTTAAGGTATCTGTCTGGTTCCATGTTGGGAATAATACAGGGCTTGCTTAGGGTGTGAGGAATGCCAAGTACATGGATAAACTCAGGAAGTTCAAATGCTTCCTCTTTTGGATATAGTGGCTTGTTTTCTTTGTAACAGGGATTTGTTTTGCTGAGGATAAGCCAAAAACCCATTGCCATCCTATTGCTTGGGACTCGTGGTTACCTGAAGCATAGAGTAAAACTGCTTCATAGGGTTTTCAAGGCCCTGACCTTTCTGAAGTAGATCTCGAGGTATCTTCTGTAGATTAGGTGTTGAACAAGGCCCAGCATACTTAAAACACACACACACACACACACACACACTAAAACCCCCAAACTCAGTAGTATTTGATAGGTTCAAGCAGACTGACTTTTTTGTTGAGCACTTAACTATGCTGCCACCAGTGCTCACTGTGGGGAATTTTAAAAGTTACACTGACCAGAGCATGCACACTGCTACAGATAAGAGCCTGCAACACAGGGAATTAAGGATAGATAAACCCCTCAGGGCCAACAAGGAGAGTAGAGATACCAGGAGGATTAGGGCAGAGTGGGGGGAGGAGGGAATCGATCACAAGGATCAATTAGAACCCCCTCCCAGGAGGACAAATAACAGAAAAGCGGGTGAGGGGCGATGGAGGACGATGTAAGATATGGAAAAAATTATAACTTATCAAGGGTTTGTGAGGGAGGGAATGGGGGAGAGGGAAGAAATGGGGAGCCAATATCAGGGGCTCAAGTGGGAAGAGAATGCTTTGAAAATGATGATGGCGGCATATGTGCAAATGTGCTTGACACACTGAATGAATGTATGGATTGTGATAAGAGATGTAAGAGCTCCCAATAAAAGTATTAAAAAAAAAGTTACACTGAAAACAAACAAACAAACAAACCAAAAACACCCCCAAACCAACCTTTGTCGTGGAGTTGATTCCAGCAAGCAGTGATTTTCAATGGAGGGTTCCTAGGCCGTACTTTGAGGAGCCCTGGTGGCGAAGGTAGTGGATTCCATGTCCTGCTGGTAACACCTACGTCTTATAGGCTTGCTGTGAGTCAGCATCGGCCCTACGGCAAGGAGTTTGGTGTGAGTTTTGAGAGACCACGTCTCTCCACAGGAGTAAATAGCCTCGTTCTTGCTGAGTGGCTGGTGCCACTGACCTTGTGGTTAGCAATTCAATGCTTACCCAGGTACCACCAGGCCTCTTTTAAAATCTATATTTTAAACATATAGCCAGGATTTATGAGGCTCTGTGCATCCGAGTCCTGAGCCTAAGCCAGAAGTTAAATTCCTGTTTAAAGGATGGAAAGAAAACATTTCTTTAAGGACTCTGATTAGGTCTCCCTGTCCATCCATCCGGCTTTTGCTGGTCTGCGTGTGGTGTCTTTTCAGCAATACATTCTGCAGGGAGTGGTTGTATTCACTTCACACCAATGTCCTTCCCAGAATGTCCTCCTATCTATTGAAACAGAGCCATGCTGGGTTGGGTTCAAATGAGCCCTGGTGGCATAGTCGTTAAAGCTCTTGGCTGCTAATCAAAAGGCTGGGGGATGGGAAGTGGAGTTCTGATTTAACAGGCCAGGCCAATGCCAACAACTCTCAAAGTGGTTAGAATTCTGCCAGCCCAAGAAGCCCGGAACCAGAATTCTTAGGTCTTCCCATTGTCCGGGTACCCATTTATTCCCCTGTGCCAATAAAGCACATTGCCACAGAGAACTCAGGCTCCATTGGGGGCAGTTTGGGATGTGATTCCCCACCAGTCACCCATGTTCGAAGATTCAGCCTCTGCTCTCCTGGCCCACTAATGAGCAGGCAAGGCTGCATCAAGAATCTGAGAAAT